ACATAAGTGACCTGAGCAGACTGTGGGACGGGCGGTGGGCCCCACCACGCCGTGGCTACGAAATCAACTTTGCGAAGTGAGTTCGGGGGGGGGGGGCTAAGCATCTTGTGGGAAACATGCAGTTCACGGCGTGCGATCAGTGGCTAAAGCGGGAAGAACTGAGCGACGTAGCTAAGCGCGGACAGGACTGAGGTATTGCAAAGGCGAACTGTCGCATCACTGCCACCCTGAACTAGGTGAAGAAGATTTGTCCGTTGCCACCATGTTTGCCCTGGTTCGAGCCACTGCAAGGCCGGCGAGGCCTCGGGACCGAGGAACGCGCCAATATATTTTGGCAGAGTCCGCAAAAGAGAAACCGCCCCAGGAGGGGCCCAGCCCGGCCAAAAGAGATTTGGTTTGGGCAATGGTGACTGGGGTCGCCGCGGCCCAGAGCGGGACGATGAAGCACTTGCGAGGCTTCAGCGAGAGGAGCGCAAGCCCCTCAGCTGCGGCAAAGGGCTCAGAAGCGCGGCGCACGCGTCGAAGGAGTACACCAGCAGTCCGATGTCGTCCGCGCAGGCGCCGATGTAGCCAGCGCCCAGGTTCGGCGCGCCGTCGCGGTGCCCAACGAACTTGGCGAGGTGGCGGGCGAGCGGGTCCATGGCGATGGCCTATGCCGAGCCCGAGGCAGGACAAACCTGCGCAACTCCAGACTCTATGGCGAACATGGCGTGCCTGACGCCGTCGATATTGATGTAACTGTTCGGCTCATAGGACAGCGCGCGGAAGAGGTTCGCGAGGCCAGCTGGGGCCCCGAAGTGCTCCGGCGCGGCGAAGAGCCAAGCCCGCCCCAAGGACGGGAAGGCGGCAGAGAAGTCGGAGCTCGCGAAGACGGGCTTGGCCTGAGCTCCAGGAAGTAGTCCAGCGCGCCTCATCTCAGCGTCGAAACGATAGATGTGCTTGGTGAAGTGTCGCTTCTGTGCGAAGCCCCATTGTGCTATGTGGGCGCGCTCTTCCACAGCGCCCGTGATGAGGTAGTTGGATGCCCCACCGATGGCCTTAATATCAGCGTCCTTCTGCGAGAGCGGGCGAGTATCTTCAGGAGCTCGGTCTGTCGAGAGTGCGCTAGAGGCATTGTCGCCTTTCGGCAGGAAGGCGAAGTCGGAGTCGTTCAGGTCGCGGATGCAGCACAGGCCAGAGCAGAGAAGGGCACGTCCTCCAAGAGAGTCAACGAGGCATCGCGCGCGAGCCAGGCGGAGCACGGCAAACAGTCGGGCCCTGGAGCAGACGGGGAGGCGCGCTGGTGGAAGGCCATGATCTGCGGCTTCGCGGGGGCCCCGATGTCCAGGATCTCGCCCTTCCGCGCGCGCGTGGATGCATTTGGCGACCTTGGCCTCGTCGACGGGCTTGGCGGCAAAGACGGGCTGCCAGTGGTCGCGCAGGGCGTTGGCCATCGTGCCGCGCTCTCTCTCTCTCTCTCTCTCTCTCTCTCTCTCTCTCTCTCTCTCTCTCTCTCTCTCTCTCTCGCGCGCTATCTTGGGCCCATCTGGGCCCGTGATTTTGATTCCCTGGAGGACAAGACGGCGCTTCCAGGGGGCCTAAGGGAGAGCCCGACGCTGGGCGGCCCGAAGAATCTCACTGAGTTTCTCAGGGCCCAGGGCGCCAGCGTGCCCCTGAGTGTGCTGCGCGGCTTGCGGCGCAAGAGAGAGTTGCCAAACCTCGAAGTCGCGGTTCAGCTGTGAGGCGAGGCTGGCGAAGACGGCAGGCTCGTTGATCGCGATGATGTCGTTGGAGACGTCGACGAACTTGGCGCCGAGTTCGGTCGCGGAGGCAACTCTGCGGGCCAGCTGTAGGTCTTGGCGCCAGATGGCGCGCGAGATGGAGCGCATCGCGTACACCCTGCCGGCCAGGGAGCCTGCCTCGTTGGCGTCGCCGGTTGCTCGTCGGACCCAGTCGTCACGCACCAGCTGGGCGGCCTCCGTCATGAGGCGCTTGTGGGTGCGCCAGCGGCTGTCAATCGACGCGCGGTCGAAGTTGGCGGCGTCCAGGAGCTTTTGGAAGTAGATAGCGTACTTCGGATCGCAGATGATCGAGGGGTGGATGGCCTGCTCGTCCTTCGGGGTGCGCGGCGTGATGCCGACGGAGAAAGTGATGATGGCGTGGTCGCTCAGGCGGTTGTCCGAGAGCAGCGCTGCGTCGTGCGTGGCGTTCGCGCGGGTCGAGAGCTCCTGGGCGGCGTGCGAGGGCAGGCTGATGAAAATGCGGTCGATAGAGGTGGCGGCGAAGCCCGATCCGTTGAAGCGCGCGGGTAATTCAGTCTCGATCTCAAGCATGGAATCGAAAAGGGACATCCAGAAGGGATGCCGCTGGCGCATGCTGTTGTCCTGCGCAAGCCTGGCGCGCTGCGGCTGCGGCTGCAACAAGCTCTGCGGCGGGCGGCTGGCGACATTGAAGTCCCCGGTGGCAATGAAGGCGCGCGCGGTAGTTGGCTTCAGCCCAGGTGCGATGCAGGTCGCAGGCCTGCTGGACCTCGCTTTGGTCGGCGTCGGCGATCTCGTGATTGTGCACATTCATGCGGACCGCGGCGGCGCGCGCGCGACAGCGTGCGCGACGGCCGTCAGCTGGGCGCGTCCAGAAAGGAGTTCTTCATGAGCAAATATCGGGAGCTGGTTCGGCTGCAGCTGCTCGAGCTCCATCGGGGAAGACCACGGGATGAGAGTGGCGACGCCGCCCGCAGCATTCGGGTTGGCGCTGCCGGCGCGCAAGAACTCCGAGAAGAAGAGCTCGTGGGGGCACGGCTGCGCGTCGACCCAGGTGCGGAGCAGAGCCTCCGAGCCGTGGACCTCCTGCAGCGTGATGACGCGCTTGCGCTTCATGTGCTTCGCAAGGGCAGCCTGCTTACGAGCGCAGCGCTTGCTCTTGTAGCACATGGGGGCTCTGGCGTTCCAAGTGGCGGTAGCGGTCGGCTCGGTGGCGTCGTCAACCCCCCACGGAGCCCAGCGATGGTTAGGGGCGCCACGTGGCCGACTCCGCGTCAGCGAAGAGCGCCTGGAAGGAGGTGATGATGTCGCCGCGGTCAATGTGCTGGAACTGCGGGTGGTTGGCGGCCTTTTCGTTCCACTGGATAACGGACGGATCGGCGTGGCCTCTGACAAGGATTTTCACAATGGGCATTGAGTCAGGGTGAAACTCGCCTTTGATCATGAACGCTCTCCATCTCGTTATTGGGCATCGTTGCTGCGTGAGCTGGAGTAGTTTCTTTGTTCGAGCTTCAGTACGGATCTCCCTGGGCGACTTATATCATTGAGATATACGTCGCAGGGCTGCCCAGTAATGTCAGTCGGCGAGAATCTGCCCCACTTCTCAGGGGCGTCTCGGAGGGCACGTGATAAGGCAATGGCACGCGGCACTGCAACAGCTTTGTCACCTTTGACTTGTAGCATGAAGCGGCGAGCAGGTTCGTCCCCGGGAAGTTCGACATGGCTTGACTGAAGGTTGGCAGCTGCGATCCACTCCTGGAGGCCGTTGAGCAGGTCTGGCGCGATGAGGCGCTGGCAACTGATCGTGAAGAGCGTCGGGCCGGGCTGTCGGTCCAATTTGGCAGGGCGGTTGAGGTCGGCGATCGGCGTCTGGGCTCCGCCAAGGGCGAGCGCGTCGCGCATCTGGTCGATCTGCTGCCTCATGCGTAGATGTTCAGCAGCTTGGCCGCCTTCTTCTCTGCGCGCGCGGGCAACTTCGTCATGTAGAGCGTCGGCTCTGCGTTCAATTGCGAGAACTTGCTGTTGCGCGAGATGTCTGCAACTTTCACCAGATTCGGCAAGTAGCTGGTCGACTTGAGCTTGGAAGTGAGTGGCGGCAGTGGCAACTTGACGTTGCATAAGTTCACGGGCGTTCCAGGAAGCAGTCGGTTTCGTTCAGGAGGTGTGGGATGCTGCTCTGGAGGAGGCGCGGCGTGTCCATGAGCTGGAACAGCTTGTACAGCGGCTGCGGCGGCAACTTCTTGAGATGGGAATGTAGGAGCCAGCTCGATGACGCGCGCGAGCGGTGAGCCGATGCCGCAGTTGGCCCAGGGGTCGGCGGCGCCCACGAGCGGGTCAGCAGGAGGAGGACGATGCGGTGGTTCGTCTTCATCTTGCATGGCCACGGGGGTGGTTTCGGCAGCGGCACGGCCTCCTGATCTGGCTGAGGAACGAGCAGGGGTGGGCGGCGGTCTCGCAGCGCTTCGGCCAGCAGCGCGTGAGGGAGCACCAGCGTGGCCTTGGTTGCTGAAGCCCGCTTGGCCGAGCTGTCCGAAATGTTCGCGAGCTGCACGTCGGCCATCTCGGCGAGGCTCTTCACGGCGGGGATGGCGGTCGTCACCTCGTTCGGGACGGCGAGGCTCTTCGCGGCGATGCTGGCGGTCTTCGCGTCTGCTGCGGGACGTGGATCCGTTCGAAGGAGAATTACTTCGGTCTGAAGAGGCGGCCGACACGATGTCGAAGTAGCTGGTCATGATGAGAGCGGGAGCTGGAAGCCAGGCACCTGCAGAGACTCTTGTCCAGAACGTGGCTGCTGTGGCACAGGTCCACGTGGCGGTAGTTGCACGTGGCAGCTAGGCTCGCGAGCCAGAGTGATGAATATCTCCGTGCAGCACAGCGCGGCGAAAGACAGCAATTTGCCCAGCGAAGGAGCGAATATAGATGGGCGGCCGCTAGCCCGTGATTGTGGCGGCAATGTGGAGGGGCGGCCGCTGGCCCGAGATTGTGGCTGCAAATGACTGGGTGATGGATCGCTCGGGAGCCTACCCCGCGAAGGCAGTGAATGGAACGCCATTTGGCCTTGAGCCAAAGTGGCTACGGGAGGAGGAGGAGGAGGAGGAGGAGGAGGAGGAGGAGGAGGAGGAGCAGGAGAAGGAACACGAGGAGGAGGAGGAGGAGGAGGAGGAGGAGGAGGAGGAGGAGGAGGAGCACGTGGAGGAGGAGGTGGAGGAGGACTCCTGGCCGCCGCCGTCACGCCAGGGTTCCCCCGGGCGGGACGCAGGCCTGGGGCCCTCGGCAGGCGCGGCCCGGCCCCCGGCCCATCACTGCCGCTTGCCAGAACTGGCGGCGCGCACAGGTCAGGGAGCCCACCACAGGGAGGCCTCCGCCGGAAGAATGGAAGAGGATCAACCCAGAAGCCCTCGCGCTGTGAAGGCATCACGACAGGAGGCTGATCGCTATTGACGACCTCCAGGGGCCCTTGCTGGGGCTCGGGGCCGTCGAACAACGACTCGGGACGAAGAACTGGCCCCGGGATGTTCCGGGGAAGGGATCCAGACTTCTTTGGGTCGACGTTGTGAAATCACGTCGGGGGCCTGGGAAGCGCCATTGGGAAGCTGCTGCACCGGCTCAGGCCGCGGATGCAGCGGGATTGGGCCGGATTCAGCGGAATCCGGCGGGAACGAGCGAATGAGCAGGCCAGATTGAGAGCAGGCTTTCGGACCAGTACCAAGTCAGACTTCGACCTCCCAGGAGCTGCCTCCCAACGCAGGGGAGGCAGGGGGAGAGGGGGAAGGCTTCTTGGAGGGAGGCTGCCTCTCGGGAAGAGCCGGCCGTGCCATCTCGGAAGACGAGGCCCGCGCCTCCGACCCCCTGCCTCGGCGTGTCGGGCTGCAGCCGCCTCCAACCCACGCTTCAGCATGCGCAAGGGCACCTCCCCCGACTGGAGCAGCGCCGCCAGCAGCTGCACCGTGCAGCTCGCGGCGAGCACCGTCGGGTCAAGGTCGCGCTGCCGCCGCAGCTCCAGACATCGAAGCCTCAGGCCCAGGGCAGCACCGCAAGGCAGGCGTCCCGCACTGCGGCACGCCGTGAGCCACCGCGCCTCCGAAGAGGCCGCCGCCAGTCACGGCGGGGGGAGAGGGGGGAGGGGGAGAGGCAGGTGGAGAGGGGGAGGGCTTCTTGAAGGGAGGCTGCCTCTCGGGAAGAGCCGGCCCTGCCCTCTCGAGAGGCGAGCCACCGCGCCTCCGAAGAGAGGCCGCCGCCCGTCGCTGGTCTGCTGCGCAGGCCTGCGCCGCGCAGCTCCCGGGGGCTCCGCACGAAGAGGAGGAGGAGGAGGAGGAGGAGGAGGCTCCGCTCTGCTCTGGGACGTCGCCCTGCTCCACCCGCGGGACCTCCGGCTCCTCGCGCTCGACCCCTGGCTGGCGTTGTGCGCTCTCGGCGCTCTGGGTCTCGATGCCCTGCTCCTTCTGGACACTCTGCAGCTCATGAATCCCGCCGGCCCTCTGGGCTCAGGTGGTATGACGAACTTGTGTCTTCTCCCCCCGAAAATCCCTCCTGCCCGTGCTCGTTTTTGGCCATGCTTCAAGATGGCCTCTGCGAGTCCAAGATGGCCTCCAAGAGGGGCCAATCTGACTCAAGACAGCCTCTGGCCCTCCGAGGACATCCCTCCCAAGAGGCCCACATGTCTCCGAAACCAAAGGAAAATCACTGTGCTTTGCCTTCTCGCTTCTTCGCTTCCGATGGGCTCTCCAGGCCTCAAGACTTGACACCAGCACGGCCCAAGAGAGGCCCGACGCGCCATTCATCTTCGTGCCCTCACGCCCTCGCGCCACCCACTCAGCTGGCCATCGTTCGGACGTCCATTCCCTGTGGTTTTTCGGTTTCGTGCGTGGTTTTGTTCGCCAAATGATCAAGGATGCTCCTCGATGGTTCTCGCCGAGGAAAAAATGCACAAGTCCGAGCGATGCCGAGTCAGACGAGGGTAACCGCTCTGGCGATATCTGGCCCAAACCGAGGCGCGCGAAGCGCGATCGCCTTCGCGCCCCCGCGGGTGACCCAGGCGTTCGTGCCCCCCGACTCGGCCCCGGCAGGAGCTCCTCCCGTGCCTCCCGCCACTCCTGCGGCTACACCCTCTCTACCCCACGCACCCTTCCCACGAGAAGCGGGGGATGGTCACAGAATGGGAGGCATCTGTATGGACAACAGCCTTCGCAGGACAGCGTCGATTTCTTGGATCGGCGCTGCACTCCCTCCCTGGGGCGCGGAGCGCGCCAAAAGCGGCGCTGGGGGGCCGCCACAGGGGGGGGGGGGGGGGGCAGCGCCGATCCAAGACATCAGCGCGGGCCTTCGAGAGAGTTTGTGCTTAAGCCGACCTTCCTCCTTCGGCACGAGGAGCCAGGGAGGAGGAACAGCAGAGGGAAACAATTAGTGGACACTCCCCCTCGCACCCAAATTCAAAGTGGGCACGCGCGGGGAAGACTGCGGTCGAGGCACAACCCATGAAAAAACAGCGACTCTGATCATTGGTGGGAGGGGGGGCATTGACCGATGAATGCGGCATGAGCGTTCGGGGGACTCGGGCTGGCCTGACGGGCCCATCATGCAGCTGACGAGACCCAATCTGAAATTCGGCGCGAACTCCCGCTACTAACATCCAACGAAAAGTGCACCGTCAAAATCCAAGACGCGCTCGTCAAAAAGCTTCGGCGAACCCGGATTCAGCGTACTCGAGCCCTACGTTTCCCCGACATGAGCGTTCGCTAATTTATTCCGAGGCCTGAAGGAGGGGAGGGAGGTAGAGGCCTCCTAGATGTGGTCAGAGTAGGTCGGAGGATCGCACCGCATCGCCGTCACATCGGCGATGCCTCGCCGATGCATTGGCGATGCATAGGCGACGTCGGCGATGCATCGGCGACGCCAGCGTGGAGAAAATCGGGCTCCACATCGAGCCGCATCGCCGATGCATCGACGATGCGGCGCGATCCTCCCACCCCATCTGCTCGGACCCCATCTAGGAGGCCTGGAGGAGGAGGAGGAAGAGGAGGAGGAGGAGGAAGAGGAGGAGGAGGAGGAAAAGGAGGAGGAGGAGTAGGAGGAGGAAGAGGAGGAGGAGGAGGAGGAGGAAAAGGAGGAGGAGGAAAAGGAGGAGGAGGAGGAGGAGGAAAAGGAGGAGGAGGAAGAGGAACAGGATGATGATGATGATGATGATGATGATGATGATGATGATGATGATGATGATGATGATGGTGATGAGGATGATGATGATGATGATGATGATGACGATGAGGAGGAGGAGGAGGAGGAGGACGAGCAGGAGGACGATGATGATGATGAGGAGGAGGAGGACGAGCGCACGGACAAGCACTGAGGCTGCGCCGCGCGGGCCGCCGCTGCGCACGCCCCGCCCAGGGCCGGCCGCCGAGGCGGTGGCCGGCGCCCGGCGGGGCGCCCGGGCTGTGGCCGCCCCGCCGCCGGGCCTCCCTTGGTGGAGGCAGCGAGCGGGGCGTCGAATTCCAAGGGGCCCAAAGGCACACCAAGAAACACACACGCAAAGAAACTGAGTCCCCACATATGTTCCCATATCTTCTGGGTTCTGCCTTCCCGCCCAGTTTCCCATATGTTCCCATTTTTTCTGGGGGATCGACGATGAATTGTGTCTGTGTGTTTTTCCCCCTCCTGGGAATTCCAAGGGCCGCCTCGTGAACATTTTCTTGCTCGGCGCGCCTCGACACTGGGCGGAAGGGCGGGGGGGAGAGAGGGGGGGGGTCTGGCTCCGGACCTCTGCGCAACGTGCGGCTGCTTGCAGGAGCTCGTCCTCTCGGGGAGACTCTACCGGCACGAGACGGGCGCCAAAAACAGCCAAAATCTGCTCCGGGAGGGGGGAGGGGGGGAGGGGGGGATCGGCGGTGGACAAAACTCCCTTTAGCGAACCTCCCCTCAGTGAAAGCCTGGGACCGAAACCGGCGGACCCGGACCCGCAAAAATGAGGGCCGCGACGCCCTCTCGCGAACCGAAAACGGCCAACAATTCCTTAATCGACGTGTCAGGGCAATTTGGAGGTCTATCCACCTCCGAGGGGAGCGGGGGGGAGGGGGGGTGCGAGGGCCCGCGGGGAGACTCTACCGGCACGAGACGGGCGCCAAAAACAGCCAAAATCTGCTCCGGGAGGGGGGAGGGGGGGAGGGGGGGATCGGCGGTGGACAAAACTCCCTTTAGCGAACCTCCCCTCAGTGAAAGCCTGGGACCGAAACCGGCGGACCCGGACCCGCAAAAATGAGGGCCGCGACGCCCTCTCGCGAACCGAAAACGGCCAACAATTCCTTAATCGACGTGTCAGGACAATTTGGAGGTCTATCCACCTCCGAGGGGAGCGGGGGGGAGGGGGGGTGCGAGGGCCCGCGCCGATCGGCAAACACAGAACAAGAAAACGATTGCCTCCCTCGTCCTCCCCTCCATCTGCCTCAGTGACGATGCCGGCGTGTCGACGAGCGTCCCAGGCCTCTGGACGTGCTCCGGGAGTCGGCCACCAAGGCCGCAGCAAACACGGTGGGCCTCAACGGCTACGCACCGGCCTGCGGCCTGGTCGTAGGGAGTTGTTCCTGGCAGCCCGTCTCAGACTCGCTACGCACATGCACGAGAAGGGGCGAACGTCAAGTGGTGTTTACACTTGCGCGGGCCCGAGTCTCTCGAAGGGTGAGGAGATCAGTGTAGCCGACGAAGGGCGGCCAGAGCCGTGGTGGGCGCCGCGGGCATGCAGAGCTTGGAACAGAACAAATATCTGCACCTGCCGTCACTCCCGCCATGCGGTCTCGACCACTCTGTTGCTGCTCACTCTCCAGGACATGTGTGTGGGGGAGTCTTGTGCTCCCCCATGGGGCGGAGGACGAGGGAGGGGAGGAGAAGGGGCGAGGAGGGTGGCGAGGCAAGCAGGGGGAGCAGGGCGCGAAAAAAGACCGGCACGAGCTCAGAAGCCAAACTTCTTCGCCACGCCCGCGGCGGCGCCCGCGGCGGCCTGGAGCTTCGCGGCCTGCTCGATCGACCCCCTCAGCTTCTCCACGCTGTCGGCGAACCTCGGGAAGAACTCGTCGGCCTTCCCCCGGACCTCGCCGAACGCCTGCCCGAAGACGCTAGCCACGGCCTCACCCCGAATGACAACAAGACTCGGCACTCGCACGACAGTGTCGGAGGTCCGCGCGGATCTCCAGGAGCTGCGCTGCCCCCCCCACCCCCGGCGGCACATGCAGCGCTGCCCCTGGCGCGCTCCGCGCGCCAGGGGCGGGGGATCCAGCGCCAATCCAAGAGATCCGCGCGAAAGCGAGTGTCGCTGCCGGTTATCATCCTTCGGCTCCTCGACGCGCTCGTTCATGCTGGCGCCGACATCGGCCTCGAGCGCCTCGATCTGCCGGTTCGCGATGCCGCCGATGCGCGGCACCTGGGTGAGCAGCATCGCTGCGAGTGTCTGCAGCATGGTCAGCGCCACCTGCAGCAGCGCCGGCTGCACGCAGGCCATCAGCTGACCCTGCAGACAGCGCCAAGGGGGGTCACCACTATCGGGCGGGATAAGAACGAAGGGTCCAGCATTGGCAGGTCAAGCCGCGCAGCTGGCTCTCCCAGCGCCTCCGAGAGCCGGAGGCGCCCGTGCATCAAGGAAAGGCGCCTGGCGGCGGGGCCGGTTAACCAGCTGCATGTGGCAGGTGCTGTAACCCACCCTGTCCCGATCCCTCCGCTCGTCCGATGCGACACTCGGAGAGTCGCCACCTCCGCGAGGAGGACCCCCCTGACCTCCCAGGACTCCCAGAGACGCCCTCCAACGTCCAAAGCCCCCTCGATCCTCGATCAGCCCGCCTCCTCGAGGGTGGCCAGGAAGGGGGGGATTCACTCATCATGGCCCGAGGCATGTGCGCGGACGAGGAGGGGGGGGGGAGGAAGGGAGCGTCTTGAAAGAAGAAGAGGGAGACGACAAACAAGAATAAGCCAAACGATGATAATAAGAATCGTAATAATAAGAATCGTAATACTCGTAATAATGGTAATTATAATCGTAATAATAATGTTAATGCGAGATAAGAATGATTCTACTAATAATCATCCTCATAATCATAATCCTAAGCATAATCATACTGAGGTTAACAATTGTACGAATAATAGCGGTAGTGATCGTAAGAGTGGTACGGAAAATAATAACCAGAAAGAGAAACATAACAATAATGAAGAAGCATATTCACTTGAGGTGGCAATGGAAATTCTGGGGAGGTCCATCGCGTCCGCCACGAGATCCACAAAAGCACTCCCCTCTTGGACGCCCCGACCCCCCCCCCCCACCCTCCCCTCTTGATGTTTTCAGTACCGAAGGGGCCCCAGGACACACAAATAAATACACACAAATAAAAATATCCCCCCGATTTTCATATATACATTCTGGGTTTTTGTCTTCCCCCCCCACTTCCCATATTTTCCCATATTTTCCTGGGAATCAGCAAAAAATTGTGCCTGTGTGTTTTTTCCCCTCCTGAAGTACGGGGTCTCTGCAGTCCCGACCCCCTCCCCCCGGGACCAACTTCTCCTCCCGAGTCGTGCGTTGCCGTGCCCGGAGCTCGGCGAGGGCCCCGAGAGGCCGCAAACTTTGGCGGCGCGCAGAAGGGGGCGGAGGGAGGGGGGAAGGCTTCTTAGAAGGAGGCTGCTTCGTAGAAGGCGGCGGCCTCACATCTATACATGAGGACCGCGCCTTCTAAGAAGCAGGGGTGCTTCTAAGAAGCCTTCCCCCCTCCCCCTACCCCCCTCTGCGCGTGGCCGAACACTGCCAAACGCCTCCCGCCGCACTTTCTCGAGACGCGACGCTGCCCGGGTCGGCACAGAGCAGGACCTTCTGGAGCTCGTCGCTGGTCTCTCGCAGCGGCGCTGGCCCCCCCTCCGACGCGCGGAGCGCGCCATTGTGGCGCCCGAGGCGCCGCCAAGGGCTCCCCGCGCAGATCAAGAGCGCGGGGCTCCCAACACGTGTGCTTGTGCCGTTGGCTCTCCTTCCGCTCCTGGGCGCCCCCGACCCTCGCGTGGGCACCCGAATGATCCTGGGCAGACCCGGTCCGGGCAATGAAGGTCCTGCTTGGCGTGCCCGAGTGAAGGGGCCCCAGGACACACAAATAAATACACACAAATAAAATGATTCCCCATATTTTCCCATATTTTTTGAGTTTTTGTCTTCCCCCCCACTTCCCATATTTTCCTATATTTTCTCGGGAATCGACGATTAATTGTGTCTGTGTGTTTCTTTCCCTCCTGACCGAATGCGATCCAGGGGAACCCTGGAACTGCTCAATCCAGAATCCTTCTGCTTCACGAGAACACTGGACTGCACCTGCACACATGAGCCAGCATGTGCTCCGGGAGAGCTCGAGTCGCGTACCATCTGGGACAACTCCAGCGCGAAAACGGGAGGCACGAATCGGGAGCTATCCCTGACCACCCTCTGCCCTGATGACCCGTTGGCCATCGCTCGGACGTCCATTCCCTGTGCTTTTTTCGGCTTCGTGCGTGGTTTCTTCGCCAAATGATCAAGGATGCTCCTCGATGGTCCTCGCCGAAGGAAAAATGCACACGTCCGAGCGATGCCAAGCCCGGGGCTCTGCCTCTTGGCGACCCCTCCCTGCCCGAGCCCCCGGCCTTCATCGCCGCGGCCTCGCCCCCCGGAGCGCCGGCGAAGCCGCGGAGGCGGCGCGGCGACGGCAGCTCCTCCGCAGCAGCTGGCGCCCCGGCGGAGGCGCCGGGCCCCAGGGAGCCAGCGAGGGCGACCTACCGTTATGTCGGGCGGGTCCCCCTACAGGGTGATTTTCGACGAAAAATTAAAAATACCGCAAAAACATATCCCAAGAAGGCAAAAAAAAACTCAAAAAATAGTCCCCTGACTATTTCTAGACTATTTTTGGATTATTTCTGGAATATTTCTCATTTTTCGTCGAAAATCCCCCTGTAGGGGGACAGGCCCGACTTAAACCTACCGCGGACTTCGGGCCGCAGCGATTCTTCGGGGCCCCAGTCGCCGGGATATAATACCCTTGGAGAACGACCCGAGTCCCAAAGCTGCGCGGTGGCCCCGAATCCCCACGGAGGCACCGCGGTGTGGTCACCACAGCGTTCGGGGGCCCGCGAGCATCGGGCAATCGGACCGGATCGGGTCGTGTGCGGGAGTTGGCCACAGACATGCTCGCGTCGTGCAGAAGCCACTGCGGAAGGTTCGTCAGCAATCTTCCGCCTCTGGGGGCCTTCGCCGGGCCCCGGGACCGTGGGACCGTCAACAGAGGACTCGGGACGAAGTGCTGGTCCCGGGGCAGCGACACGCAGCCCGTAGCGTCTTGGCACTTAGCTCAACACGTCTATTGAAAACGCAAGTCTTGCGCGATATGCTCGAACGAAATTGTGGGCCAACCGATGCGTGAGACTTGTTGAACACGGACCGTATTGAGTTTCCACACGTGCGCATCAGGGCAGCTACGTGAGGAAAGGGTCGGGGCTTCTGGTGGCCCCGTACTTGACGACAAACGAACCACACACACATACACACATAGAGGAGGATCGATAGGGGCTATGGGCACGTGTTGTCGGACGGGGATCCGAGATACCCATAGCCAGTCCTCCTCTCTCCTGCCCCCATATGGGCCTTGGCGTGTGCTGCTCGTCCGCCAGCATTGGCATAAGCAAGACATGGCATGTCTGCAGCCGCACCCACGGCCGCGCCGTGCAGGCGCCGGGCCGCATCGGAGCGCTGGAAGATCGAGGCCCGGATCGGATCCAGCGCGGCGAATCCGACAACTCGAGCCGCGCCGGTCGGACCGAAGCAGACCCTGCCAGGGGTCACGAGGCTTTCGGCCCAGAGCTCCGGCCTCCGGCGTTCTCGGGGCCCGGGCACCCCAGGAGCGCCCTCGCCGAGGCGCGGCTGCTGGAAGGCATCCCGCGAGGCAAGGAGGCAGTCAATAACTCTAGTGCACTTAGGGGGCCCCCGTTGGTCCCCGAAATGGCCTGTCGTTTTTTTACGCGGTAGTGTTTGTCACATGATCGTTCGTGTCCTTGTACATATACACGTATACACAAGTATGTATGTATATATGTATATATATATATGCATATATATATATATATATGTATATATGTATAAATATATGCGTGTGTGCATATATATATATATGTATGTATATGTGTGTATACACACACCACGTTCAAACTTGTGTGCCCGCTAACATGCGTATGCACATGATTGCCAACAACGGCTAACATATCAACTTGTGCATATACACATATCTATGTGTACGCACGTGAGCGCGCAACTGTATATATGCATGTATGCACGCACTTGAAACAGCGGGGAACGCCATATCATAGCACTCGCATTGATGCCATACCACAACATAGCGTTCCATATCACCGCATGCCATAGCATAGCATAGCATAGCATAGCGCAGCACATGCAGCATGGCATAGCCGCGCATAACATTCTGGGGAGCGGAATAACTCACTCACCCCCCCCCCCCGCCCCCTCCCTGAGCAGGCCATCCGTTCCCCCTCCCCCTCCCCCCCCCCTCCCCCGACCTGCTCCGTGAACATGCTGGCCCAACGAGCTTTGTTTCTGAGCTGCGCCTCGCACCTTTCAAGTGGGGCGATCTTTATTTCTTAGGCGGGTGAGGTTTTCATGGCGGGTCAAGGTGGCGATGTGCAGAATCTACAGTCATGGGAAGTCTCTGACATAGATACAACGGCGATCGAGGCTCATAATGGATCACGTTTGCGACAGCTAGGAGTCTCAGTGAAAGCGCGCGATATATTTCAAATGTATGAGGATTCGTTGGTGGTAGGGTCGCCATGTATCGTGGTGGTTTCGTGCGTATGCCCTCCAAGCGGCCATCGTGAGTATTTGGATGCGCTTCTCACTAAATATCTCAAGCACAAGCCAGACGCTGCCGAGAGACGGCTGGTCTATGAGAACATGACGTACGAAGCCATCATCGGTCAGTTGCCATCATCGGTGGTGGTATCAATCAGCAGGCGATGGGATACAATCAGGGCGAGTGGGTCGCCATTTCAGATTGCCTTATTAAAATGCGTCGAAGGATATCATCCCAAGATGTGTGCCGAATGGGCTTCAGGAGATGGGATCCCCACTATAGGCGATGGCCGAAACATGGTTGTCAAAGTTTCGAGTGCAGGTTCAGTCGACCCAATGCATTTTGTCGGCGGTGATGGAAGGTTCGATTTGATTAGCATGTGCACGCTGGCAACTGTGAGTGGTTGGCGAGTACTGTTTGTGGGCGACGGCGATGGTGGACTTGCGTACAATTGTGGGAGGCAAGTGTCTGTAAACATCAGAGTGTGCGAGTGTATCCCCGTCCAAGTTCGCACAACGAGCGACGCCACCATGCATCAGAAGAGGCAGTTGGGTCGCGAAACTGGCTCGTACGAGGATTTCCACACTTACGCCAAAGACTACAGGATCAGTCAAATCATGGAGTCATTCCTTCACCGGCAGGACTCCGGCGAAACGTTGTGGCCACATGAGGGGCCATCGACTTCGATGCTGCAGCCGCATGCTAACCTTAACGCGGGGGTGATGTGGCTATTCGCATCGATTGTTCAATAAGTGCGCATTCCTGGTCACATAACACAGGTCACATAACACAGGACGAAACAGTTCGTTCAACAATTGCACGCTACTAAGTTTAATTGAGTACGGGGTGCAAGTTAAGATGACACGCAGTTGTTCAATCCGTATGTTTGGCCGATGTGCTCAGATCATGGCTGAGCCTGGTCAGCGAAAGGCAGACGTATTCCTTATGATTGGGAGTTGTGGTATGTTGTTCGATGATGGAGCTGCAGTGGCGTGTAATTCCTGTATCGGTTCGCTGCTATGGGACTCGCTGCTTGTATTGCGGTTCAGAATTTGGTGCCAGGGCATGCGCTGCGACAGGCAATGGCTTGGTGAAAGCTCTGATAATCAGAGCGGTGCGCTTGCTCTATTTTTTTTTCGGCGGCTCATGGTGTGCTCGTTGATCGTCGCAGAAGATAATAAGTCTCCTACAAAACTGATGCAGTACTCGGAACAGTTCAGCGCCTGGTTCCAGAAGAATATTTCCTCCTTGGGTCCGCACCTCAGGGCCGTGGCGAAGCCGTCGGCCTCAGTTTCGAGAGCGGCCAGCTGCCCCTGGCCAGATGCGCGTTGCATTTTCCAGCTCTCATCGCCACTTTGGTCCAGGTGGCCAGGACACGTCAGAACTCAAGTGCGGAGGCCAAGGCTGTTAGCAACGTTGTTCGATCAGTGGGGCTCAAAGAAGTTCAAGACTCTGCAGCTTGCAATGTTTGCAGACGCTGGAGATGAGCACTATCACTTGATGAGGCACCTAGACTACGAGAGGTTCCCGGCTGACGACCTGTCCTTCAACGCGAGCGCGTTCGTCGCACGCTGTTCGGGGTCGGCGGCCACCCAGCAGTGGCCGCGTAGACGGACTGCGCGCTCGCTGGGCGCATGCTGAAGCTGATCAAGCACCCCATCATGCTTCCAGGCGCTGGCGTACGTGCGTTGGACTGTCCAAACGGCGCGGCCCCAGCTGTGCAGACGAGATGCCTCAAACGCATGATGAATTGGGTCGCGGCAGTCGTGCAGACGCTCCGGGCGGAGTTCCCCAGCTTCGAGGCGATCCAGGCGTGGGGCGTCTTCAATGTCGCGCAGCATGACAGGGGCATGGGCGCGCGCGCCGAGAACTCAGCCAACGCCCAGCGCCACAGGCAGATGGAGCGCTTGATCGAAGCCTTCAAGGCGGAGGCGACCTCGGACGAGCTGGTGGGGGAGATGGAGTCCGTGCGTCATTTGGTGGCACGCGTGGCCGCGGAGAATTCGATGTGGTTGTGGATGCTTGGACGCGAGCTGCGAAGATGGCCAGCGCTAGTGCAGATATGATCATTCGCTACTGGGCAGCGGGTGGATCCACGAGCGGGGTCGAGCAGTCCTTCGGGAAGGGCTACAACCGCCCCGTCGCCTCCCTGGGCAACGGCGCTTGTTGCGACCGCATGGAGATCATCGAGCTCGGGAAGGGCGACATACCTCAGGTGCTGCACCGAGCTGCGGGCATCTGGAGCGACACCGGCAGTGGAAACAGGCAGCAGCGAAGCGATGTTGGCGGGCAGCATTTGCGTGCCCGGAACGAGGGCTGCGAGGGCTGCTGGCGGCAGGAGCGGCAGCTCGACGCAGCGGCGAGCCCAGGTCAACTGAAGTCCGTCCGCGCCGTGGATCCAGATGCGATGTTGCAGCTTGAGACGTGGACAAGGACTATCCGAGGACAGACGGGCGCGTTCCACTACTCGCAAAGTAACTACTCGCAAACGGCCAAGATCCGCCGCGGGGGATTTACGACATGTTATGACACACGCATACATGTTTGTTTTTCTGACGTTTGCGAGTAGGGACTTTGCGAGTAGTGGAACGCGCTCGGCGAGAGGAGGCCTGGGCAGGCAGACTCGGGGCTCTTGAAAACGCATCGGTGGAGGAGCTCGAGCAGGGGAAAGACCGAATTGAGAAGCAGTGCGTGGTGCGCGCCGCCAAACGGCGTCGAGCAGCCGCTGGGTTGATCACCGATTGCAAGATCTATGCCGTCGCGGCCAAGGCCCACGAGTCCACCTTCATTCAGTCCACCGCTGCGGGGTCATTGGTTTTCGTGGTCAAGGAGGTGCGTGAGCGACCGCGTCGAGGCAGGCACCGGTCCAGTAGTTGTTTACAAGGCAGCGCTGTCATCGCAGAGGCTAGTCTACAT